ATCCGGGCCTCCCATGTGGGTGGCAGGGAGCCAACCAACGCCCTGAGCCATCCCGGCTGCCTCCCCGGGTCTGCATGAGCAGGAAGCTGGAGTCTGAGGCAGAGCTGGGGATCGGAACCAGACCCTCTGATCCGCGGCAGAGCACCTGCGCCCCCACTTCTCTGGTGCCACCAGCGAGGGTCTCACACGTGAGTGGGCACCAGTCCTGGAGCGCCTCTGACACTCATTGCCTTCTCAAAGCCCGTCCCGACGCTCATTGGCCTTCTCAATGCCCGTCCCGACGCTCATTGGCCTTCTCAAAGCCCGTCCCGACGCTCATTGGCCTTCTCAATGCCCGTCCTGACGCTCTTTGGCTGTCTCAAAGCCTGGCCCCACCCCCTCCAAGGGCGCCCACCGCCTCTGGGCTCTTAGGGGTCCCTGGCGAGATGGGAGAGCAGAGGGAGGAGAGGCACTGGCGGGGCCTCCTTGGTGACATCCAGGGGCACGACCTCCCTCCACAGGGCTTCCCAGGACTGGAGCCCCCTCCTCAGGGCCCACCGGAAGTCCCTCCCACCAGGGTTCACCATTGTCTCTGGTCCCCAGTGACTTCGGCATCCCCCAGACCAGTGGCCGAGTCCCAGCCCGACTTTTACTGGACTACGCAGAAATTGCTTGAAATTGAGGTATGCAGTCCATAAGATTCACCCCTTTAGAGCCTTCAGTTCAGTTATGTGTAGTATTCCCGGGTCTTCGAACGGTTTGTGGAAGCCAGCGATGGGTGGGGCCTGGCGCCATGGAGCTGGACTTGGGGGCCCCACTTCCGGTCCCGCTGCCCCACTTCCGGTCCCGCTCCCTGCTGATGTGCCTGGGAGGGCAGCGGAGAACGGCGCAGGCGCGGGAACCCCTGCACCCCCGTGGGAGACCCGGATGGAGGTCCAGCCCACAGGGTGCATCTGGGGAGTGAACCAGTGGATGGGAGTTCTCTGTGCCTGTCCGTGTTACAAATAAAAATAAATCCAAATACTGAAAGTTCACGGAACGCGTGTGCCATAAGAACACCCTGCCCGGCTCCCCATTTCCGTGGGGGTGCGGCAGCGCGAATGCGGCTTGTCATGCCGGCGCCCAGGAGCTGTGTGAGGTGCGCTGTGGCCGGGAGGCCGGGCCAGCACCAGGGCTCTCCTGGTCTCGGCCAGGCGTGTCCGTGGCCACCTGCACTCCCCGCGCCCCGCCGGGGACTCGTCCTGGCCTTTGTTTCCTGGCTTCTGTCCCCCAGCAGCGTGTTTGCAAGGCCCATCTGCCGGGTGGCAGCTGTCAGACCCCAGCCCCGCCTGCGACCAGGCGACACTGGCCCCGCTCTGCCGGCTTCGGTCGGGTTGTGGAGGCAGAGTCCGCACGCTCTAAAAGCCACCCTTTGGGGCCAGTGACCTGGCGCTTAAGCGGCTTAAGCTGCTTCCTGCGACACCGGCATCCCATATGGGCACCAGTTCCCGTCCTGGCTGATCCACTTTGGCTCCGGCTCCCTGCTGATGTGCCGGGGAAAGCAGCGGAAGTGGCCCAAGTGCTTGGCTTCCGACCACCCACGTGGGAGACCTGGATGGAGCTCCAGGCTCCCAGCTTCGCCCTGGCCTGGCCCGGTCCTGGCTGTTGCAAGCATCTGGGGAGTGAACCAGCAGGTGGAGGACCTCTCCTTCCCTCTCTCTCTCTCTCTCTGTCTCTCACACACACACTCTGCCTTTCAAATAAAAAAAAATCTCTTCTAAAAAACTTCATCCTTTGTAGTGACCGCGTCTGAGTTGTTTTTAAAAAAAACAAAAACAAAAACAAAAACAAAAACAAAAAAAACCCTTTATTCCTTTTTGCTTATTTGAAAGGCAGAGCAACAGAGAGACACATGCCTGCTCCAAATGGCTGCAACAGCCAGGGCTGGGCCAGGCTGCAGCCAGGAGCCAGGAGCTCCCTCCAGGTCTCCCACGTGGGTGACAGGGACCCCGGCACTCGGGCCGTCCCCTGCTGCGAGCACAGGCCATTAGCGTGGAGCTGGAACCAGGAGCAGAGCCAGGCGTGGAACCCAGGCCCTCCTGTCCGGGTCGCCTCAACTGCTGGGGCCAATGCCCGCGGGGCCCATTCCTTTGTGCGCCTGTCCTCCGGCTCCTGGCTCCACTGTGCAAAGCTGTTGTGAACAGGCGTGGACACGTCCTGATCTCCCTCGGGCAAACGAGCAGGAGTGGACGGCTGAGTCATGGGGGAAGTGCGTGTTGGACTTCCTGAGACGCTTCCAGACACTTGCCCAGAGCGGCTGCGCCCGTCTGCCTTTCTCTCTGCAGCACACGGCACGCCAGCCCCTCGGAGAGCCCCTCAGCACGCCAGCCGGTGCTACACGGGGTCTTATTCCTTTAAGTTTGCTTATTTGAGAAGCAGACAGAGAGAACTCCCATCTGCTGGTTCACCCCCCCAAATGGCAAAGGGGATAAAAGCCAGGAGCCAGGAATTCAGTCTGGCAGGACCCCAGTGTCATGAGCCGTCACCGCTGCCCACCAGGGTCCGTGCTGGCAGGACACTGCTGCGGGGGCCCAGGATTGAACCCAGGCCCCCCGGGGTAGGATGTGGGCATTCACCGGCCCCTTAACTGCAGGAGACAGAGATGGTATTTATCTTCCACGCGCTGGTCCATTCCCCAAATACCCGCAACAGCTGGGGCCGGCCGGGTGGGAGGCGGGAGCCCAGATCTCAGTCGCAGATCTCCCGAGTGAGTGGCAGGGCCCGGGCACGTGAGGCCCCGCCTGCTGCCTCCCAGGGGAGCCGGGACTTGAGCTCACGCATTCCGTGTGGGATGAGGACGTCCCAAGCGATAGGCTGTTGGCTGTGCCCACGGCCCGCTCTGGGGCACTGGTTGGTGGCTGGAGGTTTGCAGGGCCCCACGGTACTTGCGCGGGAACCCTCTCCTCTCCGCGTGTGCTGTGCCCTCTGATTCGGGGTCGCCGCTCTCACTGTTCCTTCTCTGCTGCGCTTCCTGCCGCCCCCCCCCCCCCGTCCCCTTCCTCTGATCCCTGAAGGGCCTGGGGCCAGCCATGTCCT